CCTCCTACAGCAACAGTATACTAAAGGAATAGAATTATCTTTATTCATTTCTCAATGCCAGAAAACACATCAGTATTACAAAAGGCTGTGCAAGATCACAACTGTCACTCACATGACACTGACATAACTGATCCCGGACTGAATGGACCTAATCCAAATCCCACTGAAGTCAATGGAAAATATCACATCGACTTCATTGGGCTTTTATCAGGCCCAAAGCGCACAAGAAGAAAAAAAGTTCAACCTTGAAAGGAAGAAAGAGACAAGTTGGAAAAACAAGGAAGATGCATTTTAAGAACAATAAATAAATGTGAACTGTGATGCTTCCTCCTACATTACAAAATGTAAGTACAGGTAAATGAATACAATTACTATTTTAATAAGAAAAGGAGTACTTGTGGCACCTAAGGTGCCACAAGTACTCCTTTTCTTTTTGCGAATACAGACTAACACGGCTGCTACTCTGAAACCTATTTTAATAAGCAATTTTATCATAAAAGTGGTCTTATATTAGCTCCATTTAACATATGAAAGAACAAACTATTCACAATATTATATTTGGGTAGAAGTGGCCTATATACATTTACATACAGATTTAATAATACAGCTGCATTCTCTACAGATTTAAAATAATAAAGAAGTACACCAACAATTGAGGTATTATTTCACATGTATGCTTTGGCCCTTTTTTGTCACCTTTCTTTTTGTCCCAGCAGAAGCTAACAAAGCCGCATAATAAATTCTGAAGCTTCTACTTTAGTGAAACAAGACATCACTTCAAATGAGTTTAGGCACCATCCAAACAGAAAGAGACAAAAAAGAGCTGTAGTCCAATACATATTTCCTCTTTTAAAAATATACGTATTAGTTTGTGCTATACATTATCATTACCTGTTAGTATTCAAGTTACAGCCAGAGTTGTAGGAACTTCTGATGTCAGATTCTATAGAAGAGTGAGAGAGTTCTTGCACAGTTTTCACCAAGTCCAAATTTTCCATATTTTATTCCCCAAAACGATACCGTTGTTATTCTTTGAAAATACAGAATTATCATACTTTCAATTCAAAAAGCAGTTTGGCTTCGTTGTTTGATTAAACAATTTGATTAATCTTTAGATCGGGGTGGGAAAACTGTGGCCCAAGGGCCGCATCCAGCCCTCCAGAAGTTTTAATCTGGTTCTCGAGCTCCCGCCAGGGAGCAGGGTTGGGGGCTTGTCCCACTCCGCGTGGCTCCTGGAAGCAGTGGCATGTCTCCCCTCCAGCTCCTAAACATAGGGGCAGTCAGGGGGTGCCGCACACTGCCCCCACAGCTCCCATTGGCCGGGAACCGCAGCCAATGGGAGCTGCAGGGGCGGTGCCTGCGGACAGGGCAGTGTGCAAAGCTGCCCGGCCGCACATCCGCATAGGAGCTGGAGGGAGGACATGCCGCTGCTTCTGGGAGCCACTTGAGGTAAGCGACGCCCAGAGCCTGTACCCCTGACCCCCTCCTGTTCCCCGACACCCTGCCCCAGCCTGATCCCTCTCCCGCCCTCCGAAACCCTCAGTCCCAGCCCAGAGCACCGTCCTGCTCCCCCCAAACCATCATCTTAAAGTTGCTTTTCCAAGCAGCAGCTGATGAAAATTAACTAGACTCTGTTTTTTTCATTGCTGGTATTTAATAATTCAGTAGGCAGCAGTGAAACTGAGAAAAGTCATGTCTGAAAAAATTACTTCACAGGCAGGCACTGCAGCTATCTCCATGAGAGGAGGATCTAAAAAAACAGAAGCTGGGGAAAGGGTAGAATACTAAAGATGCACACTTCCCTAATAGTCAGAGGTGCTTAGAAAAAGAAAGCTCTTTCTCCCTTCTAGCAGCCAGAAAAGATGTGGAAAGGCTTCAAATTTATCAGACACCTAAAAGTGGATACAAAAAATAGAGGTCCCAACCAAAGTTCAGGGACAGCTTCTTAGCAAGAATCCCAGCATTCACCCATTTTCCATCAGCCTGAAGTCAGGGATTATGTTCCTTAGCAGCAAATTGCTCCTGGTATTTGCTGGTGGCTCTCCTGACACCATTCTCTCATATTGGCTCTGTCTGGTAAGTTTAGTCTTTAAACTAATGGGTGTCTGGCAAATTTGCATCAAGCTCCATGTTAAAAGTTCCTGGATTGTGTCAACTGTTGATCCAGCCCAGGAAAGCCAGAATTTGCTCCCTCGGGAATCCATTAGTACTGCTCTACAAGTCAGCAAAAGAAACCATTATAGAACAATATGAGGTCCTTTTCTCCCTCAAGGCCTGAATAAACTGCCTTCACTGCACTCAGACTCAACCGCTGCCTCAAGAATATCAGTTCAGGACTGGTCCACTCTTGGTTATATAACAGCATCTGGAATAATTTTCAAACACAGTTGTCACATGATTTGCATCTACAAACAACACAAGAACAAACTATGTTACAAGTGTTCAGAACCTATGCCATGGACTTGCTGGAAGTGGAGAGGTGAACTACAGTGTGTGGTTTCTGTTGGTTGATCATTCCAAAAATAAATGGTCAATTGACTAATCAAATAATGTCAAAAATAGCCAAATATTGTAAAGCATTAATTGATCAGAACATTAACAACAGTAACAAAAAAGAGTATGACTTTATGGTGTCCAAAAATCTTAGATGGATACTTATACCTAAGTACAAAAAACGAGTTACTTAACTGAGTTATTTTAACTCAGAAAAATGCAAAACACTATTAAGTGGAGTTCTGAAAAAAATGATAGCATAATTATACTTTATAGCAATATTAGGTTAGCATTTAAATATGAAGTTACTCAAGACTTAACAGTTACAAAAGAAAAGAAACATGAAATTAAACAGAAACAAAAACAAACATATGGCAACTATAAAAGAAAAAAAGTCATTTTTAAATGCACTTATGCGAGGCCAACTCTTCAAGCTTAATGGCTGCGCATCTAATTTTCTTTGTGTTAGGGAGAAGGTTTAATGACTGAACCCTCCTCTCAGTTTGTACATTTGTCTAGTCAGTTTAGATAGTAAACACTTTGGGACATGGACCATGTCTTTTAAGTTGTTTAACGTGCTTTGTAAGCTGCTACGTATATTGATGGTCTGGTATATGATGATATACATGCATACACAGAATGTTTGTTCTGAAGATTACACCCAGTTAAGATGCTCAACTTTCGATCAGTTCACCTTTTCCCCCCCAAACAGGTAGTGAAGTGAGCGACAAGACATTTAAGTAGGGTTGCTAATTGATAGCATGAGGATGCAAACAAAAGTAGGCTGCTGCTGAGCTCTGGGCGTTCTTGCTGGAATATCTGTTGACGATATTTGACATTGGTCAAATAATAGGTGACCAACTGGCCAGTCAATTGACCAGCTTGCCAAGCCTAGTCCTGTCCACATTACAAATTTTAACGTTATTGTAACTGGATCAGGAAATAACTCAGCTGTCATGGGGTCCCTTATTTTGGTTGTTCTTGCAGTACCGATCAGCCCTTACAGTCCCAAACACTGATCTTCCATTTAGTGTAGAAAGACACTAAATTAGACCAGTCTGCAAAACTAACCCTTATGTGTTTTCCCTCAGATGAACTGATGCAAGTTTTTTAATAGAAGTTAAATACCTGTGAGAGTAAAAATATGGAGAAGTCAAGTGCACATAAAATTGCATCTAGATTGCTCTGAACTTTCAGCATGCAGAAACTACATTTCAGACATTAAATGTTGGCTTTTTTTATCACTCTTAAAATAACTGGGCCATAAAAGAAACACATTTGATCACTAAATTTAATTTGGGAGAACTAAACCACTTCAATTACACCAGTGCTTAGGAGCGTGACAAGTAACCTCCAAACTCTTTTACAATTTTAGACTATTCTCACTTTTAATTAAACAGAAAAATGACAGGAAACATTTCCTGGACTCTATTCTTACAGGCCAAGGTACATCCCAGAACAAACTCTAGGACCAACTCAAAAAAACATGAACTAAACATGTATGCTGGTGAGCTGCTACACCAACACCAGCACATTTACAGTGGGGATTACCCCCCTCATTTAACAACCCCCACATCTGAGCAGCATCTGGTCTCTTTGCCCTCAAGTACTTTCCTCCCCTCCCACTTCAGGCCCTCTCTCTGTCCACTATCTCTCCCCTTTCAGGCCCCCATCCTCCCTCACGCCCCTTCCCTCGCATTGGGTCCTCCCCCACCCTCTCCTCACCTCCCACTAGTTCCTACCCCACCCTACTGGGTCCTCCCACTCCCTCCAGCCTCTTCTCCCATCTCTCCCTCACTCCTCCCAGCTATCTCCTCAGTCGCTTGCTCTCCTCTCCCCCTCTAACCCCGCCTCCTTTCCGTGGGTTTCCTCTCCCCTAGGGCTCTCCGCCCCGCACCCCGTTCCAATTTCCCAGTCCAGGCTCCGCCCCTCTCCTCTCATTGGGCGGCTAACCACCGCGTTTTAGACTGTTGACAGGGCTGCTACCCCAGGATTGGTCAACAAGACCGCCACTCGCTGTTGGGGGCGGGGTCGAAGCTATAATTGAGGACGTCTCGCCTAACTGGGACTGAGGGGGGGGGGGCTGAAAGCCGCGGCATGCTAAGGCCCGCGTCACTGGGTGTCTTCTGCTCCAGGGTCCCATGTCTGGGCTCGCTCCGCCCTTACCTGCATCTCTGCCTGTTCGGAGGGAAGGGTATCCTGGTTTCAGCACTGCTCCCCTCCGGCGACCGTTAGGCGGTAAACAAGCACCAGCCGCGATCTCCTTCCTCACGATTGGCGGCTGGGATTCGAACGTTGGGGGGGGGCAGAGGGCACGAGAGACTGGCCCCCTCGCGATGATTGGCTGTTCTGGCCGCGCGCCAGACCCAATCGTGCGACGTTATTGGCTGAGGTGCGGGAAGTACAGGCGAGCCATATCGCCGCGTTCGGATTGGCAGGTGCGGCTGCGCGCCGCACGAGTACCCGGGACATGATTGGCTGATTGGTTTTTGCGCTCCGGCATAGTGTGCGGGAGGACTGGCTTGCCTGCGCATGCTCAGTGAGGGATTCTTGTGGATTGGAGATGCGCAGAGCGCTCATACAGTAGGAAGTGTATTACGTATGCGCAGATGTATGTCTGTGGTACTGTCTTGGGGGGAAGGGCGCATGCGCAAAACGGCCGATGCGGATGTTGTGGGACCTGTGCTGACCCTCCCTTGCCTGTAAGTAAGAAGGGTCCCGCCTGGCGCCTTAGAGCGGTTGGGCGCGCGCCTGACCCCGAGCCCCCTTTGATCTGGACTTCAGACTCCAGCTCTTCGCTGCGGGTTTGTCAGGCTACAGGCAGGGGCCCAGCTGGGGAGAGAACCCGGCTCCTATTCCTGCCCCCCTCCCTCCCGCTCTAACCCTCCATCCCCTCTCTGCTCCCAGAGCTGGGGAGTGAACCCAGGAGTCCCGGCTCCTATCCCTACCGCCCACCCCCCCCTCCCCCGCTCTGCTCCCAGAGCTGGGGAGTGAACCCAGGAGTCCCGGCTCCTATCCCTACCGCCCACCCCTCCCCCTCCGCTCCGGTCCCAGAGCTGGGGAGGAACCCAGGAGTCCCGGCTCCTATCCCTAACGCCCACCCCACCCTCCCCCGCTCTGGTCCCAGAGCTGGGGAGTGAACCCAGGAGTCCCGGCTCCTATCCCTACCGCCCACCCCTCCCCCTCCCCCGCTCTGCTCCCAGAGCTGGGGAGTGAACCCAGGAGTCCCGGCTCCTATCCCTACCGCCCACCCCACCCTCCCCCGCTCCGGTCCCAGAGCTGGGGAGTGAACCCAGGAGTCCCGGCTCCTATCCCTACCGCCCACCCCTCCCCCCTTCCCCCGCTCTGCTCCCAGAGCTGGGGAGTGAACCCAGGAGTCCCGGCTCCTATCCCTACCGCCCACCCCCCCCCTCCCCCGCTCTGGTCCCAGAGCTGGGGAGTGAACCCAGGAGTCCCGGCTCCTATCCCTACCGCCCACCCCCCCCCCCCCCGCTCTGCTCCCAGAGCTGGGGAGTGAACCCAGGAGTCCCGGCTCCTATCCCTACCGCCCACCCCCCCTCCCCCGCTCTGCTCCCAGAGCTGGGGAGTGAACCCAGGAGTCCCGGCTCCTATCCCTACCGCCCACCCCTCCCCCCTTCCCCCGCTCTGCTCCCAGAGCTGGGGAGTGAACCCAGGAGTCCCGGCTCCTATCCCTACCGCCCACCCCCCCCCCGCTCTGGTCCCAGAGCTGGGGAGTGAACCCAGGAGTCCCGGCTCCTATCCCTACCGCCCACCCCTCCACCCCCGCTCTGGTCCCAGAGCTGGGGAGTGAACCCAGGAGTCCCGGCTCCTATCCCTACCGCCCACCCCCCCCCCCCCGCTCTGCTCCCAGAGCTGGGGAGTGAACCCAGGAGTCCCGGCTCCTATCCCTACCGCCCACCCCTCCCCCCTCCGCTCCGGTCCCAGAGCTGGGGAGTGAACCCAGGAGTCCCGGCTCTCAGTCCCCCTTCCCACTTTGCTCCTAGAACTGGGGCGAGAAGTCAGTAGTCCTGGCCCCCATCCCTGCCTTCCCCCCCCCCAACCCTCCATTCTCTCTTTGCTCCTACAGCTGGGGAGGAAATCTAGGAATCCCAGCTCTTGTTCCTTACACACCCATCTTGACACCCCGCCCTCCTCCCCGAGCTGGGGAGAGAATCATAGAACTGGAAGGGACCTTGGTCCAGTCCCCTGCAGTCAAGCCAGGACTAAGTATTATCTAGACCAGTGGTTCTTAATCTTTACTGGAGCCTGCACCCCTTTGGTTATCAAAATATGTTCTCGCACCCCTTATGAAAAACCTAGATATATTTTGTTTGTATATTACAGTAATTGTTAAAAAATGTATAATAAAAACCTAGGTTTGATGAAACAAAGTAGTTGTATTTACATGACTGTGCTTAATTTGTGTTTTCAATTATTTACTTTCTAAAAAAATCTGGCATGTCTCACACCCCAGTTTAAGAACCACTGATCTAGACCATCCCTGATAGGTGTTTATCCAACCTGCTCTTAAAAATCTAGGAGTCCTGGCTCCCACGCCCCCTTCCTCTGTTCTAGCCACCACTGCACAAACTCCTTTTCAAAATTGTCTGTTTTTCATGGACTTAGAACTGGGTTGTAGAACTTCACTTAAGGTCTTGATGGAGCCCCCAAAAATATGCCTGATGGGGAGCAATATGGGTGTTCAGCCAGCAGGACAATGCATCTGCAATATTGAGCCTCCTGCTTTGTCCCTCAGCTGTCAAGGCCCTGGTGGTATCTCCAGTGACTGAGAGAGAGGACCCATCTCACTCCCCATACACTGGAAACCCAGGCTGCAAACCAAACAGAGCAGGTGTTCAGACTTTTTATTCCCTTGACCTCACATTCTACTACTTTTTTCTTCTGCTTCCCCAGGCTTGTGCTCACAACCTCAACTCTATCCTAGAATCCTTTATGCTGCTAATAGTGGGACAGGTGCTTGTTAGGGTGCTGCCAGTGTGTGAGGGAATGAAAGCAGACTTGCATGAACCACAGACTGAGAATCACTGAAACAGTTTGTGCAGGCCTTACTTACTTAACTATTAACCCTAGTCAGTGACCTTAAGTGGATGGTACTCTTCTTAAGAAATAGATACAAGTTATTGCAAGTGGTTATTTGCATTTCAAAATAAACACTGATGTTTTGGACTAGTTCTTAGTTGCCCCAACAGACATACATACACACAATGCCAACAGGGTGCTAGTTGCTTTACAGACAGGTATGAAGATAAGGTGCCTGTTCCAAAGATATTATATTAGAAGGGGAAAAAACCCATCTCTTATCTATATGCCATAATTGCTTACCATGATGAATAATTTCCAATCTGTTTTTTAAATCAGATCATGGTCCCTTGCTGACCTCTTCCTAGCTGATCCTGCAGTAAAAGCATGATGCATTGTTTTTACTACCACAGTTATTTCCTTGACAACTGATATTGTAAGTACTGGATTGTGACTTCACTGCAGGATGAAGCAAAAGGAGAGGATGAGCTGTGAAGGAGAAAGCCATTAGTGAAAACACATCTTAAGTCACATAGGAAGTATTTATATTTTTAATGTATAAGGTGACCTGCAAATCAGTATGATAATGCTGATTCATTAAATAATGCTACTCACTTGTGTAGCACCTTAATAAGGCAGGTATTGCATGTCTTAGAGATGGGTGAAATAAGCTATCGGTAAGAGACTTGTTTAATGTCATACGGTTGGTCAGGGTAGAAAGAATAGGACACAGGTGTCCTAACACCCAAGTTGTCCACTACTCTTTTTGTAGGTGACACCCTTGCATTTAGGAATATGTGCTGACTGCTCCAATTAGGAAGGCTAGCAGTAGAATATTCAGCATATTAAAGTACTGACTGTTCTTCTTCCTAGCCTGACTGTTAAGGGCATTTTGCTAAAATTGATAAAGTTTTCTCAGTTTGAGTTGCAGGATATATTTAACCAAGAGACACCAAGACAGTTGACTATTTAGAAGCCTTTCATCAAAATGGAGTGATACTTCTGTGTCTTAAGTGTGTGTGGAGACTTCAATAATTAAAATCTCCAGTGTGCTGTTGGATGTTATAAATAGGATATAATAATTGCAGAGCTTTCAAACTGTACAAACCTCCTGATCTAAGGAATTCTGACAGACTTGACATTTCTAGGACTGTATAAAAAAACCCTGGGATGATACTGTTTTTATATACTAAGATGTTTCCCCTCATTAAGCTATATTAAAGATAGCAAGGTACCACCCATTCTGAGTAGGACTATGGTTCACCATTATTTCCTTTCTCTCCTACACACACAATATCTAACAACTGTGGGGGGGGGGGGTTTAGACCCTGTTTTGTGTAAAGTGAAATCCTGGTAGGTCAGTCTTGCTCTGTACATATTTGTTTTAGTCATTTTTTATAGCTGTAGCATCAAGGAACAGTAGCAAATTCACATTAGTCTGCAAGCATTAAGCACTCCCCAAACCTTCTCTATTCATGTGTGATGAGTAGCTCAGACAGTTATCCTTTGTTTCAACTAAGGTTATATAAGCAACCAGTTACTGACAATAGTAACTGAGTTGGAGGAAGGGGAAAATTGTTACCATAACTCATTGCTGCTATGCTTTGCAGAATTAAATGTTGCTTTATGGTTTCTGCAATAAAACACTGCATTCCCATCTTTTAGTTTTTAGTGCCACCAAGTGGCCAGTTTTACTTGCTCATTAAAACTACTCAAAACTATTTCCGTTTTTCCCCCTTTCTTGTACCAGTGTAGATTTATTGCTAGTTGAATGTCAACATTTTTCATCAACTGCATTCAGGACATACAGTTCACGTAGTCATTCTTTTGAGCCAAATAAGTAAATATTTAAAGCAAAACAAAGACATTTATTATCTTAACTTAGGTTTCAGAGGAACAGCCGTGTTAGTCTGTATTCGCAAAAAGAAAAGGAGGACTTGGGGCACCTTAGAGACTAACCAAATTATTTGAGCATGAGCTTTCGTGAGCTACAGCTACTTGAAGTGAGCTGTAGCTCACGAAAGCTCATGCTCAAATAATTTGGTTAGTCTCTAAGGTGCCACAAGTCCTCCTTTTCTTTTATCTTAACTTAGAGCCCAAGGAACAGTGCTCTTTGATAACACTAGAAATCTGGAGTCATTTGTGTAACCACAGAATAGGTGGTTGCAGTGCAAGCTTCCCTGCACTTTCAGGCCTATAAGGATCAAAAACCTTGACTAGGAGGGATCACCTCTAGGTGTGAAGCATTCTGTCTTCATAGCCCATTTGCTCTTTCACCTGCTATCTTAAACTGTCAGTGTCCATTTTGATGTGGAAACAAACAGTTATGAAGGGAAAAATAGAACCGGAGGAGTGGGCACAAAAATCATGAATGAAATCACAAAGGTTTGATGACAGGAGCAACTTATGGCAAACAGCAGAGCACAAAAGATTCTTAATTTGAAATCAAGTTGATCAAGCTGGTATACTGATAAATTCAGTAAAGTCAGTGCAGCATGAAGTACCAGCAAGTAAAACATGTTACTTCCATTTATTTTAAAAATTAGAATGGGAACCAGGAATAGTCTCAAAACTATAGGAACTATTAAGCTAATGCAAGAATGAATCTGGACTTAAGGATATCAGGACTTGGTGGGAGTTTTGCCTGAGTAAGGACTTCCAAATAAGATTTTTATGTAGCCAGGTGCATAGCCTTCTCTTTCCATTAGGTCTTTACCCCCTTCTTTTCTGGTATATGGGATAATATTCGGACCGTTGCTTTCTTGAGACCAGGATTTCACCCAGAGTGTATAAACCAAAACTGCTTCCCTATTTGAATGCTGTTTTGAACCATTGTTTATATCAAATTTCCAAGACAAAGTAAACTTAAAAGAATGATGTGAGCGATTAGTTTATTTCACCAGAACTAACTGCATCCTAAAGCTCAAATTTGGACACATATTGTGTGAGGCTTTTCTCTGTTAATAAGTGTTTTCAGGTGCCACTTAACACCTTGATTTTGAAATTTAGTCTGTTTTAATTTAGTGGCTATTTTACAGATGCAACAAAATAAGTGGCCAAAGTTGTTATTTCGTCTGTAAGGCAACTTCATAACATTCATTTGAAATATTTAGCATTCCAAATTTGACAGATCTGTAACAATGTTACATAGCTAGTTTATAACATCTTTTAAAATGCATTGGGTCATATTAGGCTAAACTAGATCATGTTAAAACAAGGTATTTTCTATTTCAGGTTCCAGTCAAGAGGAGTTTTTGTTTCCATTTCCTTATGAATGCTTCAAGTTTGTTTCATTCCTCAATCTTACTAACCAACATAAATACTTTGTCTTGGAGGCCATGGCTTTGGAGGCAGCAAAAGTTTTTATCCCCCCGACTGGCTGTACCTTTATTGCCGGTAGCAGGAAAGAAGAATTCTTGTGATCTTCTTGCACTAAGTGAAACAGACTTAGAAGAACAGTTTGTAAGAGGTGATGGCCCAGGAGGCCAAGCAACTAATAAGACAAGCAACTGTGTGGTCCTGAAGCATATTCCATCTGGGATTGTAGTCAAGGTAATTCATTTATTTGGTTCCATTAAATAATTGAAACCAGCCTGATTATATTGTGTTATTTTGACAAATAAAATATGCAGAATTTTAAAATATGGTGTGCAGAATTCTTAATTTTTGGTGCAGAATTCCCCCAGGAGTATAATAATTAGACTTTAAAAGCTAAATGATAAGATTTTTTTTTTTGAGGCAATCCTTTCATTCATAGGAAAAGTAGGCAACACCAAATTTGCATTCAAATCTTGCATCCAGTTAAAGGGATCCTGAAATTTTCCTCTTCAATAGCTCCTATCATCTAAAGAACTCCAAAGTACTTTATAAACTTTAAGCTTTCCAACATGCTATGCCCTAAGGAAATTTCTCCATTTTACAGATGGTAAAATGGAGGGACAGAGTTTAAGTGACTTTCCCAGGGTCCTAGAGCAGGGAACTAAAAATCAGAACTCCTGGCTCTCCCTTCCCTATTACAAATGCAAGATGAGACTACAGATCCAACAAGCTTGGTACAAACTGAGCCTACCTATTGCTCCTCAAATTACTCATAAGTAAAAATAATTTATCAACTAGGGGCTGCCCACTGATCCTTATGAGACAAATTTTTGCTCACTAGCTGTAACTTAGTGTCTTCCTTTTACTCTGTATAATTTAAATTCAGAAGTAACTTCAAAAGAATGGAGGAGCAATTTTCAAGTCTACCAGTGAGAAAGGATTAAGACAAAAATCAGTAGGCAAAACTAGAAGAACCCTTAAACAATAAATGCTACTTCAAAACACTAACTTCATGTCATCTGATGGCTACCAAAAATGGTTTGCCGTTTACTGCTATTGCAGAAAGAGAGAGGCTAGCTCATTTAAAATGGATTTTTTGAGCCATTAATTTAATTAATAGACTTCATAATTGTTCTAATCATTTCTTGAATGTTACCACATAAAGAGAACACTTTTCCTTTAGAAACTGTCATGACACAAATTTGGCTTCTTATTTCCTTGTGCACTTTCCCTTACTAGTCTGAAATTAAATATCTCTTATCAGGGTTGCTTTTTTTCCTTTCAGCTAGTACATAAATAAAATCAAATTACAAGCCAAGTATTCTACTCCTTACTCATATAAACAGTTTTAAGTTTTAGGATTAATTTATATTAATAAGGATTTTACAGGATGAGGCTCTGTAGTAGTACAACATGTTTAGTAAAAGGAAAAAATGTGTACGTGTAGAATGAACAGAATTAATTTACAATAACAAATTTTTTTTTAGTGTCATCAAACTAGATCAGTGGAGTTGAACCGACAGAGAGCCAGAGAAATCCTGCAGCAAAAAGTTGACCTCTTTTACAAAGGTGAAAATAGTGACATTTTCAAAGAGAAAAGAGCAGCTGAGAAGAAAAAGCAAGAAAAGAAAAAAAGAGCAAAGGAGAATCTAGAAAAGAAAAGGCATATTAAAGAAATGCAAGAATCAGATGCCAAATAAGTGAGAGAGAAAATACCGATTTGGCTTGTCAGGGAAAGAGGAGAGAGTTTGTTGCTACCCTTGAAACATGTGTTAGAAGTTTTCTGGCTTAATGCTGTTAAGACTTCATAATAAACACTATTAAATTGTTGAGTTTAGTGACCTGCTATTAGTGCAAGGCTAAAGTATTTAGCCCAATGTTAATAGCAGTCATATATTTCATCTACGGTGGGCATCCTGGTACACTCAGATTCAATATAATCGTCAGTTCATTTGTGCCAAGTTTAGGACAGGTGTGATAAGAAAACAAGATCCATAAAACCTTAATTAAATGGATGTTACAGGAAAACGCTATCCACTTTTGTTAATGGAGGGAAAAACTCAAATCAGCTGAGAATATTCTTCTCTCACTGTGAGAGGATTTAGACACAATCTCTAATGCTTTCATGCTTAAGTCACATAAAGATGAGGACTTCTCCTGAAACATAGTTGGCCTTATCCTATAGTCCATACTCAGGCAACATTTCCATTTAAATCAGAATCCCCTTTATAACTTACAGTAGACAGATTGGATGAGCTATAAAAAAAACCCTCTCATTTCTAGTAGGGTTGTCAATTAATTGCAGTTAATACAAGCAATTAATACAAAACAATGAATGTTTTTTTAAATGAGTTACTCGCACAGCTTTGTTTTGACCTTCTTACTTACTGTACTACATTACTTGGTGGACACTGGCACAGTTCTACTGTATTCTCATGATCTGGAGTGATTAAATATCAGAAAAAGTTAATGGAGCAAAGCACCAAAAGTTTAGGTCTTTTGAATGGGAAGTTTATTTTTAAGAAACCTCTGGATAAAAAGACAGTTATCTGTAGCTATTGCAAGACTGAATTCCAGTACCATCGAAGTACTTAAAGTCTGCAGTACCACATACGTGCTAAACATGCTTTCACCTCCAGTTCTTGTGCTACAGATAACCCACTGACAGCAAATGAATCCTGCCAGCTGCAACAGAGTACACTTATAGAGTTTCAGGATTGCTACAAGCCCATGGATCAAAGTACAACAGTTTAACCAGTACTATTGCAAAGTGCATAGCTATGGAGTGCAGACCACTCAACATTGTAAACAGAGGGCTAAGAGACGTTCTTCAAATAGGATCTTCTAATTAGTCGTATACCTTGCCCTCCCAAGAGACCATTGCCAAGTATTTGTGATGCCTATATCATGAGAAGACTACAAAGTTGGAGCTTCTGAAAAATGCACTAGCTGTTGCTTTGGGTGGTGATCACTGGACATCCTTGAGCAATCACAGCTGTGTTGGAGTCACAGCACACCTAATTGATGCTGCATGGACACTGCAATCATTTGCTTTAACGGTAACACACATTGAAGAGAGACATTATGCTGAAACATATGCAGAGTGCTTCTTGGATGTTGCGAAAGAATGGAATATTCAAGAAAAGGTAACAACAATTAGTACTGACAGTGCACACAGTATGATTGCAGCAGCCAGTCATTTGCCTTTTGAACACATGGCATGCATCACTCACAGTCTGCAGCGATCCATTACAGTAGCACTCGATGGTGGTTTAGAAAACGTGCTGGCAAAATGTAGAAAACTTGTGGGCCATTTCAAGCACAATCCAGCTAACAGTACAGAGCTAGAAATACAACAAACTGCAAATGGACAGAAACAAGAACCTCTTGTACAAGATATTTCAACCAGATGGAACTCCACATTGGGTATGGTTCAGTTCATGCTTAGAAGTAAAGCTGCTATCACAGCCACATTAGCTCTTCAAAAGCCCAATCTATCAGTGCCACCAGATAATAATTTTGAAAAACTGCAAAAGCTAGAAACACTACTTGAGCCTTGCAAGGTTGTGACTGAACTCCTTGGGGGGAAATTGTATGTCTCGTGCTCCGTGGTTTTACCCGCATTCTGCCATTTATTTCGTGTTATGGCAGTCTCTGACAACCCAGCATATGTTGTTCGATTTTAAGAACACTTTCACTGTAGGTTTGACAAAATGCAAAGAAGGTACCAATATAAGATTTCTAAAGATAGCTACAGCATTCAATCCAAGGTTTAAGAATCTGAAGTGCCTTCCAAAACCCAAGAGGGAAGAGGTTTGGAACATGCTGTCAGAAGTCTTAATAGAGCAATACTCTGATGCAGAAACTACAGAACCCGAACCACCAAAAAACAAAATCAACCTTTTGTTGGTGCCATCTGACTCAGATGATAAAAATGAAGGTCTGTCAGTCTGCACTGCTTTGGATTGTTATCAGGCAGAACCAGTCATCAGCATGGAAGCATGTCCTCTGGAATGGTGGTCAAAGCATAAAGGGGCATACAAATGTTTAGCATATCTGGCACGTAAATACCTTGCAACGCTGGCTACAACAGTGCCTTGTGAACGCTTGTTACCACTTTCAGGTGACCTTCTGATAAGAAGCGGGCAGCATTATCTCTCAAATGTAAACAAACTTGTTTTTCTTAGTAATTGGCTGAACAAGAAGTAGGACTGAGTGGACTTGTAGGCTCTAAAGTTTTACATAGTTTTGTTTTTGAGTGCAGGTATGTAAAAAAAACTCTACATTTGTAAGTTGCACTTTCACGATAGAGATTGTATTACAGTACTTGTATGAGGTAAATTGAAAATACTGTTTTTTACAGTGCAAATATTTGTAATCAAAAAATAAAGTGAGCACTGTACACTTTGTATTCTGTGTTGTAAATGAAATCAGTATATTTGAAATTGTAGAAAAACATCCAAAAATATTTTTAATAAATTTAAATTGATATTCTATCATTTAACAGTGCAATTAAAACCAATTTTTTTTAAATCATTTGACAGCCTTAGTTTTTAGACATTATATCTTTGTCAATTGAAGAAAGATGTGAAAACTAACAGACAAAGATGTGGAGGATACAGTAGGTTGAAAGGAACGTCTGTGAGTTCACTCATCTGAACCATTTTTATGCAAAATTGTCCCTTTCCCAAAAATGTATTATCCTCCAACATCCATAGTTTGCACTGATAAGTCTCCCTTTCTTTGGGTTTCATTGTCCAGTTTCAGTAGACAGTTTTACTTAGTTTACCTTGCAGAATTTTGATGTGACTGAATACCAGTGTTATGCCATTGTCTTTACTATATCACAATACACTTAAATAGTTTCACCTCAGAAAGGGTCTTTATTCTGTTTTTAAAATTTCCCCAGCTTTATTTGAATAGGGAGCATCTGCTTAGTTTTATTAAAGATGTTGATTTAAAATCAAAAGGGAAGAGGTGATCTTCCATCTTAATGGAGTGGTGATGGGTTTTTTTACAAGGTGTCAAATCACATCCCTAGAACTTTACGGTATCTTTCATTCTTACACATATCCCACACTTTGCTTTTTATAAGTAGCAATGGAGCCGGCAAGCAGCCTTACCTGCTTCCTCCAGAGACTGACTGCATCGGGCCAGTGCTATGGATGGAACGTCTCCAGCAGTCTGCAGCCCTATTCCTTAGTCTGTTCCTGGACTTGAGGCTCTTGCATGAAGGTTAAACATTGGCCTATCTACTGAGTTTTTGCACTTTTAACATAATGTTGATTAAAGTGACAGTACATACAGTTTTAATACAAATGGTTAATGAAAATAAGCTTTATTACATCAAGTAATAAATACATACAAAGATGCAAATAACAGTTTTAGTAACTTATCCAGAATTTTGTTTTTTGGCAAACTTACAATGAAATCTTCAGCCTTAGGGTGAAAATTAGTTTTCTGGGACCTTGTTATTGTTTGTTAGGTTGCTCTATCTTCTGTATTTATAACTCATGCACTTTAAATGGACTCCAAAGCACTAACAATCATGCAAATGCTTATGCAAAAAAAAAAAAAAAAAGGATTATTTCTAAGCAGGGTCTATGCTGTATGTCAAACTGTGTGAGTATAGCCAACTACTAGGTAAAACATGCTACCAGTGCAGTTATTAAAAAAAAAAAATCCTTAGAGTTTATGTCAAAGGTTGAAAGATTGACCATGTGGGGTTAAGTGAATATAGTCAAAGAAATAAAAAGAATGAGACGGTGGCTGGATAAGAAAGGAACTTAAGTATAGGCTGTGGGAGAGAAAGCATTCCTCTGCATGCAGTTTTAGTCTTAACCTTTTAGAAAGAATTTGGGGAGTTTAGCATCTAAAAAAATGCAAACCCTCAGTAAATTGAAAAATCTTCTCGTTCTTAACTGTACGTTTTCATAAGGGCAAAAAAAAGGGTAAAACGCTCAAAATAAAAAGATTCATCTGCATGTTTCAAAAGGAATAAGTATTACATTTTTCTTCATAAAGAGCTGGAAAGTCTTGTAACTTAATTAGTAGGCTAGGATCTTGCATTCCGTTCAGTCTCAGCCAAGCATTCCCGAACTAATCCTCTAGCGTGAATGATGCCTGTAAAAGAACGGAAGATTTTTGAAAGTATCAGGTTAGGTGACAGTCGAAATTCAACAAAGCGGTTTAATGTTTCTGTCCTAAACTAGCTAGCAAGGGTGCTGCAACGTACCATAACTAAGGCAGCGGTGGCAGCAGCATCCCACCTGTAGTTCAAGCAAGTGAGTTTGGTTCTCCTAACTGGCATCTTTTCACAGATGAACGCCGAAGGGACCATTGTGTTAAACTTCAGTTAAATGTGTCCTAACCAAAACCCTGAATCCAAGCACCTGTGAAATTAAGTTCCACATTCAGAGAGAGATCTAAACTTTGCAGCGCAGGCTATTTTAAACTGCAAATCTTAATTTAAAAAACAAACTGGATCTTGCATAATTGTAATTTGAAAATTTGCTAAAAATAATTTAATCAAAAAAACCTGATCTGTCCATCGAGTAACTTTTGCTTTGAGAGGAAAGGAGGACTTGTGGCACCTTAGAGACTAACAAATTTATTTGAGCATAAGCTTTCGTGAGCTACAGCTCCCTTCACTCCTTTTCTTTTTGCGGATACAGACTAACACGGCTGCTACTCTGAAACCCGCTTTGAGAGGGTGTCTCTCAACTCAGAGCCATAACTGTCACCCTGCCTTGAAAGTCAAAGTCTAAGCTCCACCAGTGGTAACAACCTTGAGAGTGCCAGCGTAGACAGTCCATCATTGTAAGCACTATGTTGTGTAACCTTGCTCAGGTCTAGTTGACATGAACTAGAATTTTCAAAAGCACCGTTAAGTCCCAGCCTTAATACTTAAAACACTAGTGGCAGATCTAGACGAGTGCTACCGAAGTTCACAGCAGCCTGTGTTCGGTCCAAGGGAGATTTTGGCATGACTTTCCCCGTGCAGACAGGGCTACGCTCTGGCACCAAGGTTTCAGGGCAAGAGAGAATAGATTGGTTTCTGCTCAGAGCCCACCACTATTGCTCCTTAGCTGGGTGGAGGAGTTGCTGTTGAGCAGCAGGAGATGCTTAGCCTCATCCCACTCAAAGTACATTGCCTCTGAAGGACTGCCAGCCCGGAAGCTTCATGGTCACAGAGCAGCCAGTGATTGCACCCAAAGAAATAATTGTTCATTAAATAATTACACTAGAAAAGTTAGGGATACAAGGATTTTCAAAGGGTTAAATATATATGCACACTAGAAAATTGGTGCCTGTACCTATGGTATGCACAGATACAGACTCAAAGCAGCACATTAGACTTTATGTGGCAAGGTACCCAGTTTATGCAGCAGAGCTACCCTGAATTAGGTAGAAAACAGACTGTTAATTGATTTCAAAGCTTGACAGCCTGTGTGGCTTTTAAGTTGGTGGAGCACAAAGACAGAAGTCTCCTGCAGGAGGAATGATCCATATACCTTCCCGCTCCTGTGCGGGACACCTGCAAGATTCCCCCAGCCCCACCCCATCATACTACTGTATGCTCCCTGCACACACACTTAATTCCTCCTCATAGAAACCTCCTCCACTATTGAGTGGGCAAGTTTTTGAGTCAGAAGATGTCAGAAAAACTGGCTGATATCCATGAGCCCTATATAAATACATGCTGTAATGTAGGAAAGCACAACTTTAATTTAGCAACTCAACTGTTCAGCAAGCAATTGTTCATGCTGACAGTCTGAACTTTTCCAAGTTTCTTCTACGTCCTTCTCATTAGCCTATAGCCATTCTTGATCTATTTTGACACTGACTCAGCGAGTGCAATAAAGAGACTCCTGCAACATTGATTTTAGTCAGCCCAGATTCCACTTTACCACTCTTATCAGCAGACTTTATTACATCCCTTCCAAGAACAGCTACTATTCATTTTATTGCACATTGTGGTAGATATATTACTCTCCCCTTAATGGTAGGGCCTTACATACAGCTGGCTTAATGCCACCTTTGCACTACCCAGCTGCTGGGCTAACCAGAGACCATTTTAGCCTCTGGCACAGGATAGAGCAACTTGGGGAACTGCCTTGCACTGAGCTGTTCATGGCCCTTATGGGTCACTCCAGCAGCACTTCAGGAATGTCCTTGACATGCCTCCTGCAGGGGATGGTGTGGAGCTGGCTGCACCAGCTGTAGGGCATGCAGTGATTTCCCCAACGGAGAGGAAAGGAGACTCACTACCCTCTTTTGCTGGCCAAAAGGAACTGTGGACCACGGATGAACTGGGCCCTTAGACTCTAGTAGCTTCAGGCTCCCTTAGATGTACTTACATCTGCTTACTGGCGTATGAGGCAGTCTAAGCAGGTGGAACTTAACAGAGGAGCCAGGAGGAGTAGAAATACATGTGACAGAGGAAGATGCTGGCTAGTTCAATGTGAGCCTCCTGTTTGCTTTTCCCCCCTATACTCCTCTCTCCAGGCCCCTCAATATGCAAGTTACCACAGCACAGAATCTCTTCAAGCAAAGATACATTCAGTTAAGATTAAGTGGACCAGCTGGAAAAGTGATGTATAAGTGATACTTTGGTACATGGTTTGGAATCTATGGAAGAGAGTTTAGGCGATTCTAAGTAAGTCTTTTGGGAGCCTTCACTGATGTTATGTACACGGTGAGGGGGCTGGAAAAAGGTGCAAGTTACACTAACCTGTACTCCCCTCTGTACACATGAAATCCATTCAGTCGTTGGTTGGTCACGTAGAAAGTGAATGGGCTATTGCTAAGCTATGTTAAACCAGCAACTCATAACTAAACACACTAAGTCAAGCCAGCTGTAAGTTTCCCCATCTCTGAAATAAGGGATGTGGGGAAACGGTTTGGAAATAATGGATCCAAAACACTGTCCATTCTAATAAAAAAAAGATTACCTCGTTTTAGCCTCTCCATGGCACTTTTACTTCCAGCATATGTAGGTCTAATTTCTTTTCCTAATTCTTCTATGATAGCTAGAAGTTCTGCATATTTGCTTTGTGGTACTTGACTGCTGCTGGTACCCTACAGTTTGAAATAAATTAATCTGAATTATACATAGCAAAAAATAGCAGATTAAAGAAATCATAAGAATCTATTTCATAATGTGCTCCCGTTGATCATGGTCACTTGCACTAAATGCATCAAGTTTATAGTTTTACAGGATTTTAAACACGATGCTGCTTTAGCCCCTGCTCCTGCCATCAGATACGATGAGGTACCATGCAGTTGCAAGGATCTATCAGGGCAGATCTGACTGCAGGGCTGGGACCTTTTAACATTTCATCCGAACAGTATTGCAAATCATTAACTAACCCAACGCTCAAGTTCATCTCTCTCTCCCTCCATTTGTTCTAATTTTAAGTAGTAGTACAGGCAAAAACTGACCAGACATGTTTTCAGAGTATGTTAAAATAGGTGGGGAAGTCAGTAAGAGAGAGAAGAAAGCTGTCCATATGCCACAAGAAGGCCTCCTTCTCCCTGTTAAATGGTAGAAGCCACTCCACAAAAGTTGACCAATTAGATTCTTGTAGCAGCCAACAGGAAGGTTTGGATCATGCATTTTATAACATTGTTTTGCTGGTGTAAATCTTAATTTACAGTTAGAAATATATTTAATATTAAATATGATTTTCTATTTTAAAAGTCATACTAATAGAGTCCTGTTTGTTGCAGCCTTTACCATCAGATTATAATCTTTGATCATTTTATACCTGTGCCTTTGTCTTCAAACACAACTCACATCAAGGTTCACCGGTGGGCAGGGACTCGTGGTTAGTTATTAAATACCCTGCCTCAGCATGGGAGGATGGATTAGACGACCTCTTGAAGTCCCTTCCAGACTTACATATGATTCTATAACCCCCAGTGAGCACTACAGTTAGTCTAATATGAAACCAGGATGCATGTGATGAATCTGTCTGCCATTTGTATTTCATTTCAAAGCAAGGGAGGGTCACATCAGTCTCCATGCCACATGTGATTCATACTATCGCTCAAAACTCGTCACCAATACAATTTAAAAAAAAAATTGGAATTTTACCTGCATTCCTTGTGTATAGCCTAGAGACGGGGGTCCATAATCATTTATAAGCTGTCTGTATTGTGCAGAGGTTGCCATACTTGTGGAGGGAGAGTGAACACTTCCAGCTTTTGAGGAAGAAAAAATAGGAAAGCAAGATTTATTATCTAAGAATAAATTAGTCAATACCCATTGGGGCATAATTCAGTGAGGTGATGTTGTTTTTAAACAAACAGTAACCTGTCAACATTTTTTTTCCAGATCACTAACTCAAGAGTCACACTGTTCACTGCAAACAGTACAGACAGTTAAAGTACAGTGTTCCCTACAGGATGATTACATGTGAAAGTAGTGCAGGCTAAAACATTACAGATATCTCTAGCCTTGGGAGGATTAGATTTTTGATCGGTAAATGTCGGTAAATGATCATGTCACCAAACACACACAAACCCATAAGCTTGAGAACTTAAAGAGTTTGATTTAAGGATATTTACTTGGTATATTTTGACATGTGATGTTGGCAATTTGTGTTTTAAGGGTTATAAAGTTTAAATTTTCTGAATCTTAGCATCTACTGTCTGACCCACACCCCATCATTTTGCACAACTGTGAATATTTAAATCACTAATAGAAAAAAATGCTCAAAAATAAACATCCGAAAAAGTAAAAATTTAGTTCTGCCACACCTAGTTATATCATTTGTACTGTTAAAAATGCAACACTATATAAAATTAAATGTTCTGTATAGACTTACTGTAAATATGGCTATAATTTTACAACTCAAATTGTCATCACATTTGCAATGCAAATCACCCTAAAAAGCTATTTTGAGCTAACCCCACAACTATTTATTGTGTGACGTCAGCAGTGAATATTGTTCATCACATTCATCTCTTGTGTGATGTCAAACATTTTTCACCAGTAGGATTGGGCTATGCAAATAAACCAAGGAAAGATATCACTAATATAACACCACTTTTTTTGTTACTAAGTCTGATATTTCACAAGATCATCAGACTTCTGTGTGAAGTTAAACTGCACTGACAGAACATTCTTATTATGAACATATATTTACTTTTGTCGTTATCAAACTTTATGGTCCCTTTAAGTAAATACTGACAGACATTACTTCTAGGGTCAATAAACCTTGCATGGATCGTAAAGTAATAGAAGTAATTATCTACTTAATGTTCCATCTTGATTATTTTAAAAATAATAGGTTCCTCAAAAGATAGCTGCTATACTTGGCACTTTCTGAACGATTGCATCTTTTCCTGAAGGAGTTCAAGGTGAGTTACTCACACTGCACAGGAACATTCCTCCTACTCTCCCTGCAAATAAACCCAAAACTTTTTGTGTCCTTTATTATTATTCCATAAGTTAAGGTGGCTTTTTAAATTAAGCAAGAGTTACAGGACCTAATTTAATGGGTTTTGCCAGTGTTATCAGTCAAAGATCTGCTCCGGTAGAAGAGAATCTGAACAGATTCCTTAATCAGTTTCTAAAATTCAAAATTTTGGGGGGAAATGCACATGATAGACAGATCCAGTGTTGTGCACTGCTGATTTAAGGGCTCAACCTCTGTCCATGTGAGTCTGCTAATGGCACCTATTGATCTCATCTCGTCTGCCCACTGAAACAGCCTCCTCAGTCATCTTATATCATCCTTTTCAGGAAAATGCACCATGAAAAATAAAAAGGCATGTAAGGGTCCCAATCCTGCTGCTTGTTTTCATAACCTTATTGGGAGTTCTGCCCAAGTAGGGATTGCAGAATCTGACCTAAGGGGGATTTATATCATCATGGCTAGCTGTTCTTTCTCTCCTCTTCCCCTTCAAACGTTCCTGCTCCTACTGTAACTTCCCTCTGTCCAGGCTTTCTCTGCAGCCACCCAGACACACCAACTCCCTTCTCTACAGACCTCTTCCCTGAAAATTCCCAGGCTTTTCCCACTCCCTTCCCATGTCCGTGGCCCTATTTGGAATTTAAATGAAATACAAATGAAAAGGATTTGACATGAGAGTCATTTTGTTCCGTTTAGTGTTCTACTCCTGACTCTTATTTATTTTTGCAAGGACACCATCAGAGGAAGCAGAGATCACACTGTAAGAAGTACTGAGTGCATGATGGAACCATGAGTCTAATCTTCCTCATTTTGAAAGTATCATTGTGCTTCTGTAGCAATCACAGGGAACCATGATGGCCTGGTCTTCACTACAAAAAGAAAGGGTGTTCTTAACTTGAGTTAGCTAATGCGAGATAAAATCCTAGTGAAGACAAGGCGGTCTGTAGCTTTTTCATGAGTCAGTTGCTTGAGCTGAAGACTCATCTCCCCTTTAACCTTTAGCTCAATCTGCTAATTTTGTTTGAAAAATTACAGACTGCCTTGTCTTGAAAGGGTTGCTAACATGAGGTATAACACACCTTTTTCCTAGCGACGGTACACCTTAACATTCTCCATTCTTACACTCTGTAACGTGGGTTGTCGTCTCAGGACACACTTACACCTGCAATATTTTTATATCCACATTTTACCCGACCTTTCCAAAATCTATAAGAATGATGTCGAACCGACATCCATGATGCTACTTTGCGGGAAGTAGCACCTTTCCTCCAAGGGTCTCATAACGCTTTACAACCATTAGTTAGCCCAGCACGCTGTAAGGAAGGGGAGTTTGGTTATGCCCATTTTACAGAAAACAAAACTGGGCATAGGTGGGTTAAGTGTCTTTCCCTCCAGTCACAAAGCATGGGCCCAATCCTGTGAAGGCTTGCTACTAGGTGATTCTGAAAAGTCTAATTGAAGTCTGCGGAACGGTTTGCAGTAATAAGCCCACCACCTGGGCGGAAAGGCATTTACAGGGTCAATCAGTTTACAACAGGGATCGGCAACCTTTCAGAAGTGGTGTGCCGAGTCTTCATTTATTCATTCTAATTTAAGGTTTCGCGTGCCAGTGATACCTTCTCACGTTTTTAGAAGGTCTCTTTCTATAAGTCTGTAATATATAACTAAACTATTGTTGTATGTAAAGTAAATAAGGTTTTTAAAATGTTTAAGAAGCTTCATTTAAAATTAAATTAAAATGCAGAGCCCCCCCCGGACCGGTGGCCAGGACCAAGGCAGCGTGAGTGACACTGAAAATCAGCTCCCCTGCCGCCTTTGGCCCACGGGCCATAGGTTGCCTATCCCTGGTTTACAAGGACAAGACATTCAGGAGTCCAGTCTCCAGTCACCTGTCCTAGCAACTAGCCAACACACCTTTCCTATTGGCTATGAAGTGAAAAAAAAAAAAAAGAAGAAGAAGTAGAAAACAACTAACATTATTTGTTTCCGCTGGCTGCTTTTAACAACAATACAGAACAGACATCTCATTGATCTCCTGCTTAGACCATGTTAATTGGAACTATGTCAGGTTCCCAGCCTGGATAGAAGTCAAGATTACAACACAAGGAGCGTACAGATAAGAACAAAAACCATCAGGTGCCTGATGCATTGAGACAAAGCAGTGAGGTGCTGCATGAGAAAGTTTCACAGATCTGGACACTGACAACAATATGGCATTGCAGTACAGAGTAGCTGCAGATTTTGACAGTGGCTGAAGGAGCATTAAAGGAAAAAGTGTACAACCAATAAGGAGAATTTGCTAAAAACCTGATCCTGTCAGAGAGCTATGGGAAAGGGATTGGCACTGGGATTTTAGTGACACCACGTGCATCACCTCTCAATAATCAGATCAATGGAATTTTGGCACTGGAGCAGCCAGGGACACTGTATTGTCTACTTTACCCACAGCATATGCAAAGCTGTGATGCAGACACTAGAGGCCATTACAGAGTAAAGAATGTCCTGCCGAATGACAAGTAGTGGTAACCATGGTGAGTTTACCTGTTTCTTTGCAGTCTGCATCAAAAATGTAATAAGACATAATGCCATGCGCCAACCACTTTATCAGTAGCAGCAGGCACAGGGAACAAAGAAAGGGATTTAGCTTGGCTGTGATACGAGTTCTTCATGCGCTGCAGGCGCCCATGTCAGACGCCTGCCAGTCATTCCCCGAGGGAGTGGGGGAGGGAGTTGGACTCGACAGAATAAACGGAAAATCAAATTTTTGTATTTATTTAAAACGCGGTTGTGATCCTAACGAGCTTGAGTGCAAGGTATGTCCTGAGAATTAATGTCTGGTGAGGGGTAATGGACCTTGGCCTTTTCTCACCCTCTCAACTTTCCCATTAATCCCCTAGAAGGGTCCTGGGTCTTAGATGTTTTTACTTAGTTAATCCAAAATACATTTGTGTATCTAAGCATTTAATAGATTTCAAATTACATTTGCTGGCTCCTGTCATTATAATGAGCAGCAAAACCAGGCCAGCGAGCCCTATATGGCATCATAAGTCATAGGAGACCAGGTCAAGATGTCAAAATGACTGTACTCCATAGAAGAGGGTGAAAGATCGATTATGGCATTCAGATGTCGTATTTCTCGGGCATCCTGTCTGCACCCTTTGCTGATCCAAAGTGCTGATGAGATCTGCAGAGCGCTATATGGCTTCTGTTCAGGCTACCTGAGCAGCTTCCTCCCTCTGCCAGCACCAGGGATGAGGCTAGCTGGAGTCAGACTCTAGACCTGAAGATCTGGGACCTGGAGCAGTATGTTCTCACTGTAGACGTGGAGGGGCGAGTAGGAGGGGCAGCGACAACTCAAATTCACTCCCCAGTTTGATCCAACTGAGGTCAAGGCTGCTGACCTTCACCGCAGGGTGTAAGGTCTGATGGTGGCAATTTTGGGATACCCATGTTGCTTAACCCTAGGCTGGTAGCCAATCCATGCTGGTATTGATAAAGGAGGGGTGCAAGTATTGTTCTATCCAGGAGACTGGGGGACTAGATGATAGGCATGCTGATTTATCTATCTTTAGATGTAAACAGTGCTGACAAAGCTCACGGATTTATCACGAGCCTTGCACTATTTGATGTTCTTCTTAATGCTCCAGATGCTAGAGGAAAGTGATCATATGAGAATCTCAGCTTGCATATTTTTTTAAAAAGAGAAGTTTTTAGCAATTTTTAGAGAAGTTTAAAAAGAGACATTTTTAAGTTCCAGTTTCTCTTGATTGCAGGAAAAAAAGC